AGAATATAAACATTATTCTTGAGCCTTGTTTGAGATAGCTTTCTAACATGACATCTGATTTTTGATGATCTAGAGGTCACAAGTTTGAATCTACTATCATCCACTAAAAAAGATTATTGTTCGTGTGCTATGCTTGAGTAAAAACTATTCTTGGCCTTATTACTTACAAGTAGAACAAGTAGTTTTGACTCATTTTCTCTTCAAAAACTCATATTTTACAGTTTTCATTAATCCAATTCCATTTTTTTCTTGCAGAGAGGAACTGTTGTTGAGAAACTCTCAGAAGTGACACTGAGGGACCAAAGCCATCTAAATGAACTTTTAACTCTCTGTGATGGTAATAAAAAGAAAGAAAAAAACTTCTTTTCTGCATGATATCACAGCACATTACCTGATTATGTTTTATTGTCTAACAGCTCAAAGACAAATAGGAGAAACTTCTCTGAATGGCATGAGCTCTAGATCTCATCAGATTCTGCGCTTGGTATGTACAGTTTGTCTTTTACCATTAGTATTTTCTGCAATGTTTGGAAACAAAAAATCGGTAAGAAATGTGAAAGAAAATAAAGAAACGAAAAATCGGTAAGAAATGTAAAAGAAAGTAAAAAAACGAAACAAAAGAAAAGTCTGTTAGAAAATGAGACGTGGCGAGTAACACTTGTTTTTTCTTCTTAGTTAACAATGCAACATCTCACTTTTTCTTTCAGACGGCCGAAAGTTCAGCAAAGCAATATTCCCGCTCTCAAAATAATAGCACTCTCTCAGCTGCAGTGGTATGGAAGTGCCCACACTATAAGAAACTATTTTTTGTGATATATTGTCGACATGGTAATGCTATCTTAACCGTATGGATGACACCAAGATTGTCACTATTAGAGACAATTACACACAAACACTCATTTTCTATGAAACCCTGGTGGTGTCAATCTTGACCTCATCCCTTGGTGTGACTGTAGCATGATCCTTGTCGATATAACTACAACATCGGCAAGAAAGTATAAGGAATACTAACTTTTCCCCCTTTTCTTCGTAATGCAGAACTTTATTGATCTTGCTGGAAGCGAGCGTGCTTCTCAAACATTATCAGCTGGCACAAGACTGAAAGAGGGTTGCCATATAAACCGCAGCCTGCTAACCCTTGGGACTGTCATTCGCAAACTAAGGTGGACCATATTGAGTTGATTCTAAGGGATTAAAGTCATAAAACACATATTTCTAGTCTTACATGTTCGTTTTTTGTGAGCAGCAAAGGAAGAAATGGGCACATCCCATTTAGAGACTCCAAGCTAACACGAATACTGCAAAACTCTTTAGGAGGGAATGCAAGAACAGCCATCATCTGTACGATGAGCCCTGCACGCAGCCATGTTGAGCAGTCCAGAAACACTCTCTTGTTTGCCACCTGTGCCAAACAGGTTGCAACCAAAGCTCAAGTCAACGTGGTGATGTCCGATAAAGCATTGGTTAGACAACTCCAGAAGGAATTGGCAAGACTTGAAAATGAACTCAAGGCGCTGAAATCGCGTTCTGTGGATGAAAAATCTGCTTTGGTGCTCAAGGAGAAAGAAGATGTCATTGAAAAGGTTAACTTCTTCCTATCCGACTTCGGTTTCTTATGTATTTTGCACTAAGCATATTAGTCATATCATCCAGATGAACAAAGAAATGAGGGAGTTGATGATGCAGCGGGACATAGCTCAATCTCGGATGCAAAATTTGCTTCATTCAAGAACATCATGGGTATGAAAATGAACACATAAACATAATTTTTTTCAAATTTTCAATTCTGCAAATGCACAATTTATTTTCATTTTCATTTAGGATGAGATAAGTTACCAATCAGAAACCCCTGAAGATCACACAGATGCATCCGAAGCCTCAGAAACTCCTCTCCATCATCATCATCATCATATAGCAGAGGCTTCTGCATCATCTAGATTTGACGATGCTGTCGTTGATGAGGCAGCCATTGATGAAGACCAGTTTCTCTCCAATGATACCTCTCCCAGACTCTTCATCCACAAGTTTTTCGGGCCCGACCCGTGCCAGGACTTGCTCCAAGCTCATCCTGCTCATAGATCTGACAGTAGTTTTGCTTCTGATAGCTGCAAGGAAGTTCAATGCATAGAAATGGGCGACGACTCTCGAATTGCAGCCGCGAAAGTGGATCTGGGCGGTTATTATCCGGTCGATTTTGACGAGATCGCAATTTCTGCGGAATCTAAGAAATTTGCGGCCCATGATAATGAAGACTTCTTGGATGTGATTGTAAAGGAGCACAAGTTCAAGATCTCGATGGACGAAGATGACGGCGGCGTCACAGTTCACGAAGCCGTTGAAGCTATGCCGGAAAAACAGTTCCGGCGCGGGAGTGAAGATTCCAAAGAAGTTGGCGATGGCGATTTGGAACACAGAGATGACGAGTCGGAGTGGCCGCAGGAGTTCGAGAAGAAGAGAGGAGAGATCATTGAGCTTTGGGATGCGTGCCATGTGCCATTGGTGCACAGAACATATTTCTTCCTTCTCTTCAAAGGAGACCCGTCGGACGCCGTCTACATGGAGGTCGAGCTCCGACGCTTACACTTTCTCAAGAACTCGTGGTCTCAGGGAGAAAAAATTCCAAAAGATGGCCAGAATTTAACAGAGGCAGCAAGGTACTCTCCCTTTTTTTTTTGCTTCCCTTTTTAAGATCTTCTTCCACTCAGTTGGTCAATAGCGAGGGATAAATCATGTTATAATCTCAATTTGTTTCTTAGATAGGCCGTCATGTGTCCAGTGTATTACAGAAAATAGAACTCCCACACTACCGCTATCAGAATTCAACCGTAAGATCAATAGGTTTGAATCACTCAATAGAATGGACTAGTAGAGATATTTGGATCAAGGGTGCGACCATGTGTTAATCTATACTTCGCACAGACAAACAAACATAGACGCTAATCGTCTCTGCCAAGCATGGGTAGCATCCTAGCATTATTCTTGGATCAAAAGACATTAACTAAGAAATTGATCAGTCCATTATATAGCTCAATTCAAGACTCCATTAACATGATGTTCTTGATGATCATGCATACTCCTAGCATCAAAAGCATGAAGCGAGAAAGAGAGATGTTGTGCAAGCAGATGCTAAAGATATTCAGTGCAAACGAGAGGAACAAACTGTTCCGAGAATGGGGGATCAGGCTGAACACGAAGCAGAGGAGGCTACAGCTATGCGACAAGCTATGGAAAGACAACACAGACAAGGAGCATCTGAATCGAAGCGCGTCGCTCGTTGCCAAGCTGGTCGGGATCGCGGAGACCAATGATGCTTCTAAGGCTATGTTTGGGCTCAACTTTGCGCCACAGCCGATGAATCACCTCAGCTCCTATACCTGGGCTGCCCCACGAATGCCTTTCATGGCACGATAAATAAATCAACGACGATACTACACACGTGTATAAGTTTATCTTTTTACCGCCCTAAAATATGTCATTTTCGACTTCTTTCTTAGAATTCTAGTCATCATTGCTAAGTATTTTAATTTTCTTCTCCTTCATTTTTTTTGGGTCGTTTTGGAGTGCCAACAAAATTTGCGCATATATCTGGTGTGTTTATAAACTGTGTATTTAGCCAATCAACTGTTAACATATAACACATTCTTGATTCACAATCAGTATCGCATTCTCCTTATTTTCACTATTTTGTGTATCATAAGATATTATGTTTGTCTTTAAAAAGATTTTTTTTTTCAACCATCCCAAAAATGAATGGTTCATACCATTTTTTAAGAATTTAAGTAATGAAAAGAAATCATCACAAATAAATAAGAGTAAAACGTAAAGGAAAATATCAAAATATGAGTTTCATGTTTTTATTCCTTATATAAGAGTTCGTACTGTAGCAATATGTTACTGTACATGTGCATGGTCATGATTGTTAATCTAAATTTATATATATTAACTCTTATTTTGAGAATAAAAACATGAAATTTCTATTTTAATATATTTTCAATGTTTTAATTCTATTTTTATTTTTCCTCTAAAATGAAAACCTCATTTGGGAAAATAAAGGATAGATACTCCGTATTAGTTTTTCAACTTTTTCAATCCTTACAATGAAAATGAAGGTAAGATTAAACTATACTCCCTCCGTCCCAAAATATTTGTCACACTTGCTTTTTCAACAGTTGCAGAAATTCTTGTTTAATTCTACGTTTTCATTGGTTATTTGATAAAATAAAATGAATTGAAAAAAACTTGATATTAGTAATAGAAGTGTGGCAAATATTTAGGGAGGGTGAGAGTATGATATTATTTTGAGAAAATTACTACTACCTCCGTCCCAAAATATTTGTCACACTTGCTTTTTCAGCAGTCGCAGGAACTTTTGTTTAATTCTACGTTTTTCATTGATTACTTGATAAAATAAAATATTCTTGACACTTCTTATTTCGAAAAACTTTTCATGTAATTTTTTTATATTTAAATTTTATTTTTTATTTCTACACTAATATGTAAATAAAATAAATTGAAAAACTTCATATTCTATCTTGGGGATGTAAGTGTGACCAATATTTTGGGACTATCAGAGAATATATTAAAACATATACTCCGTAATCCTTTATATATAATATTTGGGAGTTAAACTCCCAGAAATTCGACATGTGGCGGGCTACTTGGCAAAATTTTTTTACACATCATCAGCCACATTTGATGACTTAAGTGACTTGGCAATTTTAACTTAAAGTATGAAAACATCTTATTAGAGCAAATATTCATTCCCAATTATTGCACATATGAAAAACTTTTACGAGATATATGTAAAGTAATTATAATTATGAGGTTATAAATGTTAATTATAAAAAACTTTCAATTAATTGCTAATGACATTTGTTGGCTAATCCTTCCTTTTATTATAAAATTTGAGACTCTGGCTTACATGATATTGGCATGTCACGAGCTAATATGACATTTTTAATAAATCATCTCTTGTCTATTTATTATTTTAATGAGTTGGTAATTTTAATCAACATACAAAGTACTGATTTGACATTAATTTATTTTATTTTTTATAGTGACTAAATTATTTATCTTTTTAGTTTCATGCAGTTAATCTTAAGAATTAGTAACTCTATTGTTTTTAACACCCAGTTCATTTTTCGAATGAGATATGTTTGACCAATGAAATTTTTTATCAAACATATTTTTATTTTGAGATTATAGTCTAATTTTTAATATTTCAATTCATTATATATTTATATAAATAATTATTCAAGCATTTGACAGCAAAGCGAACTGAGACAGTTAATGAATAAAGTTTTTAGAATTATTTAAAAATACCAATTTATTTACCATATATACGTATGGGGGTTAAAGAACACTTTCTATTTTTGGATTTAGAATCACTCCCTCTGTCCCCTTAAGATTTTCTCATTTTGATTTTTTGTGGTTTTTAAGGAGAGTTGAAAAAATGTTAAAGTTTACCATAATACCCTTAATGAAAATGGGTGGAGTGTATTAAATGAGGTAGATGAGGTGTAATAAATAAAGTAAGTGGAAATAGTTGTGGTATATATTTTAATTGTTAAAAAAAGTAATGAGAAGATCTATGGTGGACAAATAAAAAGGGATAATGATAAGATCTATGAGGGACGGAGTGAGTATATTTTTGCATAAAAAAGTGATTTAGATTCATCCATTTTTATGAAATAATTAATTATGCACCTACTTCTCTGAATAAATTTTATTAATTTTATATTTAGGTTAGTGGTCTTATGCTAAACAAAAAGAATGAGTTTGGTTACTACATATCTTTATCTTTATATATTAAATTTAAGAGTTAAACTCATAGAATTATAATAAGTAGTGAGTCTACATTGCAACATTTTAACAAATCATCTGCCACCTATACGGATTACGAAGTGCCACTATAATTATTTGGAAATAAAACTAAAATAAGATTAGAATATGGAGAAAGTGCCAAAATATGAGTTTCATATCTTTTATCTCCAAAATATTAACTACAATACCAATATTTTATTATATAGTGCTAAAAACATTATGAAATGGTAATATACATTGCCACAACGTCACTGTGTAAACTTTATTTAGGAAATAAAAATATTGAACTCTTATTCTGGGCATAAGATTTATGTCTTACTTCTATTTGAGTGATTTTTTTAGTTTTGTTTAGGAAATATATACAGAGTAATATATATGGAGTAGTAACTACCAAAAGTCTCCTTCTACACTTATATTACCTTATATATCTTTTTTTNTTTTACAAAATCATCATCTTCAACTTCTTGGGAACCTCTTTGCATATCTTTCTTTTTTTCTTCTATAGTGTAGATAGGTGAAATTGTGAAAACTATTGTGTAATTGATGATGTACTCACACTTCATTTGGTAAGTTTAAGGGAGGGCATCATTAGTAATCTATTTAAAAAGGAAATTGATAGCATTATTTTTTGGTGAATTATATTATTTTCCATATTCTTTGCGGAGCTTACGAGAACAGATTTCCAATTTTGTTGATCGGAACTCCAAAATTTATTATTTAGCTACTAAATATGAAGAGGTTCCTTTTTTCTATATAACAAGGTTAAAGTATATAAAATTTGACCAAGAAAAGTCAAATGAAAATATTAAATCGGAATGGAGACTAATAAGATCGAGACTAAGTTACAAGTTACAACCACATCAAAGAGAAATATAATTTCATATTTATAATTATTTCTATTTTGATAAAACATTTTGTATATTGACAAGAATACTATCAAGGAATGATTTTGCATTATAAAAGTGAAAAAGAAAAGTTTACATATGATCATATGAGATACTTATCTACGATGAATGAATATCAGCACAATATATACGATGAGATAATGGAAGTTGTGACACCTGAAAAAGGAGGTTTCTTTTTTGTGTATGGTTACTGTGGAACTGAAAAAAAAAATTTATATAGAAATCAGTGTTTATTTCTCTAATGTCAAATGATAAGATTGTCTTGAATGTCACATCCAGTTGTATTGCAACATTACTTTTTCATGGGGGAAGGACATGAGTGAATGACATTACACTTGAGATTCTTAATCTCTTTGGGCGATTGCATAACGTGTGCCATCAAACAAGAGAGTCTGAAAGCAGAACTAATCCAACAAGTAAGTCTAATAATATGGGATGGAGCATGCATGATGAATAAATTTATTTTTTAAGGTGCTGGATCACAAAATGAGAGATGTAATAAATTTCTCTAATAAAAACTCTAGAAATGAACCATTTGGAGGGGAAATAGTTGAATTCGGAGGGGGAAAAGTAGGACTCGAAGGGAAAATAGTTGTACTCAGAGGTGATTTTTGGCAAACTCTTCCTGTTTTACCCAAAACTTCAAGAGAGAAAATTGTGAGTGCTAGCATCTATAGGGACGCACAAATTTTTTAAAATTTATATGTTAGCGAAGAATATGATATTACATTCTTCTACGTCCTCTATCTCATATAGGGACGCACAAATTTTTTCTGATGGGATAATTAAAGTTAGAGATGAAAAACTTAGACAAGTGATTGATGAAACAACTGACCTTAAAATTCCGCATAAATTATTAATTCTAGACACAAGTTATTTTGTGAAGAGTATAGTGGACTTCACTTATCCTAATTGAACCTATTGGAGAGTATGAAAATTTATTCATTTTTTAGGATAGAGCACTATTGGACCATGCTTGAGGTTGTAGAGATGGTAAATGAATTTGTCATATCCCCCATTCCCTAATATGAAATGGTGTGCCTTAGTTTTGATTCTTCATGTCAGGCCTATTCAGATGTAATTATTGATGACAATTAAATAACAATTAAATTTTAAATGAAATCAAATGTTCGGGGATCCAAAACTACAAAATAATCTTAAAAATGGCTTAACGATTTTGATATTGAGAAACATTGACCAAATATATGGATTATGTAATGGTACACGTTTAATCCTTGAAGAGCTGTGAAAAAATGTTGTTGGTCGATTGTGGTTTTGAGAAATCGAGTCAGCAAAAAGTTTACATACTCCTAATGAAATTGATACCATCTGATCTAGGACCACTCTTGAATGTATTTATAAGGCAAATATCAATAGTCTTATATTTTGCAATGACTATCAACAAAAGTTAAAGTCAAACATTGTCATTTCTTGCATTACTTTTAACGAAGTTGGTATTCACTCATGGTCAGCTTTATGTTATGGTTCCATGAGTGAAGACAAAAACAAAATTAAAAATATTAGTTCTAGATGACAATGATACTCTTGCAACTATATCAAAAAAATTATATACCCTACAGTGTTTCAAAAAGTTTGGTATTAAAAAAAACTTGGTTGAATACACATTCAATTTCTCAAATATTGTTAATTCTACTTTGGAATTTTTGTATATAGTATTAAAAATCATAGGGAAATATATTTTCTTTGGGAAAAATATTGCATTAAAAAAGTTATCAGGATACTGGTATATCCATAGATGGCAACTTTTCAGTGACTTTCTTTCATCTTTTCTCTAACCTTTTTCACATCACCTGTTTTCTCATATCAGCAACGGCTACTTTTCCCTTCAGCCGCCATGGCCGCGCCCTCTGTGATACTGCTGCTCCTGCTTATCGCCTCCGTCGTAATGCCGGCGGTTTCTCCGTCTCCGGCGGACTCGGAGCTCCGGGCATTACTTTCTCTCAAAGCGAGCCTGGAAGATCCGCTTGGCGCATTGGATGGCTGGAACTCTACCACGCCGTCGGCTCCCTGTGACTGGCGCGGCGTCAGCTGTGAAACCGGCCGTGTCAGTGAAATTCGGCTGCCGCGGATTCAGCTCGCCGGTCGGCTCACGGAACAGCTCGACGGCCTGCGCCGGCTGCGCAAGCTGAGCCTCCATTCTAACAACATAAAAGGCCCAATTCCACGCGCTCTGTTCCGGTGCTCCCTCCTCCGGGCTGTTTATCTTCACAGCAACTCCTTCTCCGGCGACCTCCCGCCCGCCATTGCAAATCTCACCAACCTCCAGATTCTCAACGTGGCCCGCAACTTCATCTCCGGTCGAATTCCCGGCGCGCTCCCCCCGAGCCTGCGCTTCCTAGATCTCTCCTCCAATTCATTCTCCGGCGATATCCCGGCCAACATCTCCGCCGCATCCGCAATCGAGCTCCTGAACCTTTCGTTCAACAAACTTACAGGCGAAATTCCGGCGACAATTGGAACGCTCCAGAACCTCCGGTACCTCTGGCTAGATTCCAACGAGCTCTACGGAACATTACCGTCGGCGATCTCAAACTGCTCCTCCCTCAGACACCTCACCGCCGACGGCAACAGCCTCCGCGGCCTTTTGCCTCCGACGATCGGCTCACTCCCAAATCTGCAGGTCATGTCGCTTTCCCGCAACCAGCTCACTGGTGTGGTCCCTTCATCTCTCCCCTGCAAAACCTCTGTCAACCATAATAACCCTCCCTCAATCAGAATCATCAATTTAGGGTTTAATGCGCTCACGGGCTTCGACGACCCGGAAAATCAATTGTGCTCCAGTGTTCTCGAAGTCTTCGTCCTTCACGGGAATCACATAAATGGCGTTTTCCCCGTCTGGTTATCAAGCATTTACTCGATGAAGCTTCTGGATATCTCCGGGAACTCGATTTCCGGAACATTACCGGAAAACCTGGGAAACCTAACACTGCTGAAGGAACTCAATGTCGCGAACAATTCACTCACAGGTGAAATTCCAGCGAGCATCGAGAAATGCGAAGGATTACAGAGGCTCGATTTGACCGGGAACTCGTTTTCCGGCTCCATTCCGGAGTTCTTAGGGAGATTGCAGAGCTTGACGTTCTTATCTCTCGCCGGAAACGCTTTCAATTCTTCGATTCCGGCGGATCTAGGCACTCTCAACTCGCTTGTGTATCTGGATCTGAGCGGAAACGGTCTGAGCGGAGATTTTCCTCATCAACTGCTGCCGCTAGCCAATTTAACCGCTCTGAATCTGAGCGGCAACAAGCTGTTATCCGGCGAGATTCCGGCCGGCATTGGGAACCTGAGTGGTTTGGAGGTTTTGAATGGGAGCAATTGCGGCTTCTCAGGCGAAATCCCGGCCAGCATCGGAAGGCTGTTGAGGCTGAGAGTTGTCGATCTGAGCAAGCAAAGCTTCTCGGGAGCCCTGCCCGTCGATCTCTTCGGGCTGCCCAATCTGCAAATTGTTGCTTTACAAGAGAACCAATTCAATGGGGAAGTTCCAGAAGGGTTTAGCAGCTTGTCCAGTCTAGAGTACCTGAATCTCTCCTTCAATGGCTTCTCCGGCCAGATTCCTCCCACATTCGGGTTTCTGAGATTCTTGAAAGTTCTTTCCCTGTCTCACAACACCAAGATCAATGGCTCAATCCCACTTGAATTGGGCAACTGTTCCTCCCTCGTCGCCCTGGAGCTTCAAGACAATCATTTGAAAGGGAGAATCCCGAGTGAGCTCTCGCATTTGTCCCGTTTGGAGGTTCTCGATCTCTCTTCAAACAGTTTGAGCGGAGGGATTCCTTCGAATCTCTCCGCTCTTGCTCGTCACCTGAGGTTCTTGAATGTTTCCCACAACCATCTCGTGGGCGAGATCCCCCACGCACTCTCCGATGATCCTCGAGCGTTTGCTGGCGGGAATGACGGTTTATGTGGAAAGCCATTGGTGAAGGAGTGTGAGAATGGTGGCAAGATCAAGTGGTGGAAGCGATGGAGGAAGAAGAAGATGGTTTTGGCCATTGTTTCCGTAGTTTTTGGAACGGGAATGGTTCTCTTTGTTCTGTTTTGTTGTTGTTGTTGCTATGTTTACGGCACGAGGTGGCGTGGAGAAGGCGGTGGTGGGATGGGGGAGAAGAAGCGGAGCCCCGGGAGGGTAAGCTCGGGAGGAGAAAATGGGAGGAGGAGTAGCGAAAATGGCGGGGGAGGGCCTAAGCTTGTGATGTTCAATAACAAGATCACATATGGTGAGACTTTAGAGGCAACAAGGCAATTTGATGAGGAGAATGTGTTGAGCCGGGGGAAGTATGGGGTTGAGTTCAAGGCGAATTACGGGGACGGAACCGTCCTTTCCATCCGTCGCCTTCCCGACGCCTCTTTCACTGCTATCGATGACAACACGTTCCGCAAAGAAGCCGAGTCGCTAGGGAAAGTCAAACACCGCAACCTCACCGTCCTCCGTGGGTACTACACCGGACCCAACATCAGGCTTCTCGTCTACGACTACATGCCCAACGGGAACCTCGCGACGCTCCTACAAGAAGCGTCGCACCAGGACGGACACGTACTCAACTGGCCCATGAGACACCTGATCGCCCTCGGAATCGCCCGAGGCCTGGCGTACCTCCACTCCGTGTCGATCATCCACGGGGACGTGAAACCGCAGAACGTGATGTTCGATGCGGATTTTGAAGCCCACCTGACCGACTTCGGGCTCGACGGTCTCTTCAGGAAGACGTCCACTCCCGAGTCCACGTTAGGGACTTCGGTCGGGACTCTGGGTTACACGGCGCCGGAAATGGCCCTGACCGAAGCCCCAACAAAGGAGTGTGACGTGTATAGCTTCGGGATCGTGTTGCTGGAGATACTCACGGGGAGGAAACCGGTGATGTTCAACGGCGGAGATGGGGAGGAGGAGGCGGAGGACATTGTGAAGTGGGTGAAGAGGCAGCTGAAGGGAGGGCTGGTGTCGGAGTTATTAGAGCCGGGTTTATTGGAACTGGACCCGGAATCTTCGGAATGGGAGGAGTTTTTGCTGGGCGTTAAATTCGGGCTGCTTTGCACCACCGCCGACCCGCTGGACAGACCTTCCATGACTGACGTCGTGTTCATGCTCGAAGGCTGTCGGGTAGGCGGCGGACCGGACATCATCCCTTCCTCCGCCGCTCTCCCCTCTTCCATTTGACCTTTTCCGATGTAATAATGAATCTTTCTGAGAGTGCAAGAATGTCTGCCGCAAAGCTTCTTGTTTTGTTCATGGTATTCTTTAAACGCCCGCCGCAATTATTCAATTGTGATGAAATTAATGACTCAATTTTGTTTGGTGTTTTTGGCTAGCGCTAGCATTTTGGATAAAATTTTGATGGTGTGGACTAATTCTGAAAATGCTAACGCTAAAGGTTGCCGTCAGATAAACTTTTCAAAAACTTAAAGCTAATCTCTAAAATTGAACAGAGTCTGTTTGGATTTCGAACCAGTGACTCCGGGTTTCTAAAATGGTAGAATCAAATTCTCGATCTACGGACGGGTACCGTTCTAGTTGGGCACTATTGGGCGTTGGCTCGTGTTTGTATAGGTTCTGAGTTTTTGATAATTAAAAAGTTAAATATAATTACTTTCTCTATAAACATTTTTATTTACAAAATTTGATTGATTTCATTTTATAAGCATTTTATTTGATTATTGGTGCAAGTTAAAAAATAAAATTTACATATTTAAAAACTATATGAAAACTTCTTCAAAATAAGAGATCAAAAATATTTTATTTTATCAGATAATAAATGAAAAAATACAAATAAATAAAAGTTTTAGTGTTGGTTGAAAAAAAGTGACAAACATTTGGGATGGAGGGAGTATTTTGTGACAAACATTGATACTCTCTACGTCCCTAAATGTTTACCACAGTTTAGAAAACGAGACAAAATATGAAGTTTTTTCAAATTATTTTATTTAAATATTGGTATAGAAATAAAAATAAAATGTACATATTTAAAAATTACATTAAAAATTCATCAAAATTAGAAGTGTAAAAAATATTATATTTTATCAAATAATCAATAAAAATATACAAATAAATAAAAATTGCTATGATGGTTGAAAAAGGAATTGTGACATACATTTGGAAAGGAAGGAGGGAGTATTTTGTTAGCTAAATGTGCATTGTAACTCAAAGATCTGATCCTAAATACAGAGTGATTTTTTTTTCAACTGTGGGGGCAAGGAAATTGATTCCCGCCAACAGCAAACCCACGTGGAATTTAAAATGGAATAGCAGAAATGTAGCCGTTAATGAGGCAGGCTTTATTTTATCATGGAAAAGGAAAGGGGGTAGGGCCCATAGAAGGGGCTCAGGTCCGTGATGGTGTCTTAAAATTAACCTTATGTGGGACCATTTTAAGCTTTGGACTTTACGAATGTTTTTCTCATGGTCAACCTGTCTTTATGACAAATGGGTGTGTCCCTCATCCTCTCCATAATCACTTAAATAAGTAAGAAAATTAAAAAAATTAGTAAAATAAAAATCAAATATAAATGAGTGGTTATGTAAGGGTTATAAAAGTGTACCCCTAGCATTCCTCATCAATTAATAGCTCCGTTCTCAATTTCTGATAATTGTAAACAATTACTCCCCCGTCCGGAAATATTCTTCTCATTTGACTTTTCTTGGTCAAAGTTTGTAAATTTTGACTATGATATGTGGAAAAAATACATTGTATTAGGATATAACTTTAATATGAATATATTCATTTTGAAATATAGTTTTCAAATACGGAGTATCAAATTTTTATAAGATATATCCATGTATAAATAAAGATATTAGCGGTCAAAGTGTAATCTTGGATACCGTAAAAAATAAAATTGGAAGAATATTTCCGGACGAAGGGAGTATATTTAGTATAAGACCTATGTAAATACTAAGTACAACATTCACTATTTACGAACAATCTATAATTAAATCTCATTTTACCTCCCATGTTGTAATTGTTTAGCTAGCTCTAAGGGTTCTTCAGGGATGTGATTCATTCTTTTTTTTAAGAATGACTTAATAAATGGCTAAAATTAGTACTCCCTTCGTCCCTTAATATTTGTCACACTTGTATTTTCGAGGTAAAATATCAATTTTTTTCAATTCATTTTATTTACATATTGCTATAGAAATAAAAAATAAAATTTACATATCAAAAAACTACATGAAAAGTTATTCGAAATAAGAGGTGTCAAGAATATTTTATTTTATCAAATAACCAATGAAAACGTAGAAATAAACAAAAGTTCCCAACACTGCCGAGAAAGCTGGTGTGCAAATATTCTGGGACGGAGGGATTATACTTTTGACATTGTAACACAATGACAATTGTCTATAAGTTCGTCATCAAATGAGAGAAAATTATTTTATCTTATTTTCTACTTCTTTGAACTAAATATCATTAAGAAAAATATTGAGTAATTTTTATTATTTTTCTTTTTCTTCAGTTATAAACATCCACATTTCACTTTATTAAAAATCATGCTAAATAAAAAAGATGAAAAAAAATAATGAGATAGAAGGAATTAATGTTTATATTCATGTGAAGTTATGTCGACTATATGAACAAATGCATAGAAATTTATATAACAAAGTAGAATGTTCCATATTTTTATATCAAAACAAGATAGGAGAATACTTTAAAATACCATATTCGAATATAATGCAAAATAAAATTCCATTCACAACGGTCAACAACTACAAATAATATAATAGTGCCAGAAACATTGGAAAATAGTTTCTTCGTTTAAAAATATTTCTGGTTCAATCTTATAGAGAAGAATTATACAAAAGTAAAAAAAATAACTAATGTTTATTTAGAAGAAAGAGAATTATATGTGTCATACATTCCATTTTTTAATAGGAAGGTTGTTTTAATCAATCAAAACATAGTGGGGAAAAACTAATTAAGAACAGAAATATAGTCTGTATATAATCTTGAAAATCACCAGATGCTTTCTCGTACAGCAAAAGCCTTGACCACAACAAAAGTTACAATAAAAACAATATAGTCCATTCTGGTCTGCAAAAATTACAACAGTAAAACCACAGAGTTTATTGTAAGAAGAGAGCTAATCTACTATTGGAAATCACAACATATGCAACCATTCATTGTTCTAGCCAATCATTCAAACACACATGGAAGGATTTGGAGCAACAAAATATTTAAAAAAAATTGTAATTTTGAAAAGAAGGTTTCGGAAGCGTTCAGGCATGTTCTTCCTTCCTCTAGTCTGCTCTAGACTGACCGGCACGAGAAGAGAGGATGATTCCAACAATGAGTCCGTAAAGAGCCAAAGCTTCGGCAAAAATGAGAATGAGAATCATCCCAACAAAGAGCTTCGGCTGTTGTGCATTAGCTCTGTGTAAACAAGGAAGAAAGGGTTATAATAGAGAATCCATAAAGAAATGGACCAAGATAATAAATATCCTGCAAAATATATATGATTGCACATACATAGCCAAAGTCACATGTAAAAAAGACATGGTCATAGAGGTTTTAAAAAAGTGGTTCCGCATATTAGAGATTTGATGGTATGAGTTATACACTTGTACTAGTCAAGGTAGTCAAGATCGCAATCCAACTCATAGCATGACAATGTTACGAGTCCTCTTGGTGATGGCAATTCAGATCTTACACAAGATCAGAACTATAGGTGTATTGGCCTTCCTATGATCCAACTCAAAGAATCGTGATGCATAAAAGAGTGTTTAGATCCATAGATTTGCTTCCCTTGGTGCGAAGAGGTGGGAAATGTCAAAGTCCTTAATTTTTGCATCTTCGGCTTCTCACCTTATTAATAATCATCTATGGATTCTACTTCTCCAATCTACAGGAAAACGTATCATGTTTTTGTTGTTACAGAGGATAAAGTAGCACTTAAATTTTTGAAGTTCACATTTAGCCTTTGAATGTACCTTGTGCAGTAGAGAAATAAAAAGAAACGAGAAAAAAGAAGAGAGGAAGCAATTCCATTGTTCAGACAGTGAAGAAAGAGTTTCCATTGTTTGGAGACTCTACTATGGTGGGAAGAAAAATAATTGGAAATGAGGATGTTCTTTCTTTCCAACTTTTATCCTTCAATTCCGAATTCGGTCATTTTAATAAATATAGAAGCTTCTTTCTCTCTTATTCCACACATATACCATACATTGTACACCATTTGCTGCTTCCATCAACTATTTTTTCTCACACTATTTCTTATCTATTGGTCGTGTTCCATGATTTGGAGGTTGATTAGACAATGTCAATCTTGAAATGGAACATGACAACTCATTGATGTCTAATTAATTTTCTGTGTATGTTGAATAACTTATGACGGTGACCTTTATAGAATACTCGTCCCATTATTTCTTCCTATGAAGGTTGCGAAAAACATTGGCACGGATATTTGCAAAAATTTGTAGGGTTGATCAATTTATACAATATATTGGCACTAGAAGTTTAAACTCTTTGACACCCCCCCCCCCCACCCACCTAGTTGGGATTAAGTTGCACATGGTGATGAAGAAGATGACTATTTCTTCTATCATTCTTCTCTATTATTTAATCCTCATGACAACCCAACATAGCCTTAGAAAAGCACAAGTGTTTCTCAGTTCATTACAAGAAGCAAGGGGGCAATACAATTATGTCACATTACTAAAATCTTAGTACATGTTTGCTCCTAAACAAGTGATGCAAACAGAAACACCAAGTTGAAAAGATGATGGGAATTTGATAACAGTGCTAGAGGCTGTGAGCAAAGATGGACTAGAGCAAATAATGTACTATCTCACCAAATCTCTAGGGGTTGAACAACCCAACAAATTATAATGAATCGTTTCAATGAAAAAGATTTGCTCTCAAAAGTTTCATCAAGCTAAGCTCGTGAGTCTAAAGACTAAATGCCGTTTGGTAAGAGTGAATTTAATGAAAGTATGGCTGATATTGATGAAGTTTATAGAATTGCTGAAATTCTTTAAAAAAAATAGATTTCAAATATGTTTTATTGATAATATAAAGAAAAGAAAGTGGCTAAAGTGATCCATCTCCAAAACCTACGGAAAAAAATGACCTTGAGTCCTACTTGTGTTCATTATGCACCAATTCAGCTCGTGCAATGAAATATATTGGTGTTTGGTACAAATGCCAAATAATACTAATAAGCAAAAAAAGTCTGCCAAATCACTCCTAAATCTAAACTTTTTAGCATATATTTTGAAAACAACCAGCATCAATGCTGAAATCTAAACTAGTTTCCTTGAAGTCAGACTCAAAATTACAAAACTAGACAATTTAGCACTTATATCTCCATAATTGACATCCTACTCAAGCACAGGGTTATAGCAAACAGATTGGATGCTAAATCAAACCACGATGCAAATAAATGAGTAGTAATTTTTGTTGAAGAATCAGTAGCAAAAATAACATATTGTTGTTGAAAAAGTAGCAAAAACAGAACAGTGTCATTCATTCCAGAACATGTATAAAGCATTCGAGGGAAATCAAAGCAATATACGCATCAGATTCTAGCATTCATCATACAATATAGACAGTTCAACTCGAATGGAATAACTCGGGAGTAGATTTACCTGACACCGGCATCACCAACGATGCCAATTGCCATTCCAGCAGAAAGACCAGCAAGGCCACAAGCAAGACCAGAAGAAAGGTGAGCGTACCCATCGAACAGATAGTACGATTTGGTCTTAGGGTTGATCCCCGTGCTGATGATCACAGCGATGATCAATCCGTAAATACCCAACACACCAGCCATAACCACCGGCACAATGGACTTCATCACCAGCTCCGGCCTCATCACCCCCATCGACGCCACCCCAACTCCACTCTTCGCGGTCCCATAAGCGGCTCCCATACCTGCAAATCCGGCCCAAAACAAAACAATCAGAAGCAGAAGCAATCGATTATTCGTACAATTCGAAGAATAGATCTGAGAACGAAGGTGGAAAGAACAGATCGGAGTACATGAGAAGACTAAGGCGGCGGCTGCGCCGAGGAAGCCGAAGAACGGCGCCGTTTCATCTCCGCTGAAGCTTGACATATTCCCCCAACGACGACGATCGGATCTCAAAGATCTCTCCTTTTCTGTGCGGGAACAAAGCTGATGGTGATGATGATAATGGAAACTTTGAGATCAGTCTTATTTATTCATTTATCTATCGGGCCTTCCCCTAGATCGAATATATTGGGCCTGAACTATACTATAATCTGACGGGCTTAATTTTGCTTAAGTGACTGGGCCAATAGTGTATTTCCGGTTTGGAGCCTGCGGCTACCACAAGGTTTTTCAGTTTCGGTAGTTTAGGGTTTTGGGCCACAATTTGGAATTCATTATAGTAAGTGAAATTTGCATTAAATGGTTCCAAAATACTCTGTATATGTCATTTCTCAATTTAGTACTTAAATTTTTTATTCCTTAAAAGGTATTTGAATAATGTCTAGTGGCTGGAATAATATCTAATTATGGTGGACATTTAGTTTGAACAATGTCCAATGGCGGTAGACATTTACCTGAACAATGATCAGTTAACAATGACTGGTACTACTACATTGGGAAATAGAAATATATGGTACTACATTGGAAAAGTCACTATGTTTTAGTACTATTTAGGTAAATTCTCTTTATAGTAATCCAAATGCCACAATTTGGGCTAGAGTGCATAGGTTCTTCTTGAACTTTAAAAATTATATTAATGCCCTCTTGTTTTTTTAAAAATATTGAACCAATGTTTTCTCTATGTCATATTTGAAAGTGTATTAATCATGCATTCATCCAATGCAAGCATAGGTTCGCTTAAAGTCATATATCGCACATGAGCTTTGCAATGTGCCCTTCCCCAACATTATTTTTTTATATTTTTAACTTTATAAAACCCTAGATAATTATCCTCGATTTAGTCATCGGTAACCGTCGGTTCAACATTTTCATCAATGCATGACATCTTCATGAAGCTCCAACACGTGTATTCATGAGCGTGTAATTAACGCATTGCGAAATCTGGCACAAGGGAACCGTCGGTTCAACATTTTTAAATGTTTAGAGGACATTGATGTAATTTTTTATGTCAAATTTAACATGGTTTAACATGATTTTGAAAATAATCATGTTGTGTTTATTGGAGAGTATGATGTGACAATGCACAACTTTTTTAAAAAAAAACACACACACACACAATGGACAATTTTAAAAACAAAAAAATAACAATAAAATGTTGCTGATATATATGATTTCTAAATGGGTGGCTGGAATGTCAACTACAACATAGTCCCTATATATAGTAAATATATTACATTAAACGCACCTGTCGTAATTAAATTAGCTTTAATTGGACTTGAAAAAAAAATATAGATCGAATAAGATAAACCAATTTTAATATGACAAATTTTCTACGGGTATAATTTGCGTGTGTATCACTATAGCTCCGCATATTCCGTTCAGCTTTTTCCTCCAATATACGGATAAACCAATTAATGGATATCCCATTCAAGCTAATTTTTGGATTGTACCAAAAAAGTTATACTCTATATTTCTTTATTTTTTTCTAAATAAAGGAAAAATATATAGTCTTCATTTCTATTTTTTAAACAAATTTCAATCACTCATTTTTTAATTTTTTTAATATTGTTCTAAACTATATGAAGTTAAACTGTGAAAAAAAGGCCTTGTTCCTTATGAATTAAGTTATATAAATATAATTATTTTTTCCTTTAATAATCAGTTTGGACGGGTAGGACACCTTGGCGCATGGCCAACCCTTGCCCAGAGAACCAAATATGCAATTAAGCCATTTTTACTTAACTGATAGTTACTCGTAAAATTCATTTAATTAAATTGAACAGAGAGAGATTGATGAAAAAATATAAACATGACGAATAATAAATTAATAATATAAAAAACTATAATCCTATTTCATAGAGGGTATATATGTTCTTTTTTCTTTTTTTGAAAGTAGAAGGTATGTTCTAATGTTATTTTCCCATATATATATATATATATATATATATATAT